CCACAAGTACTGCTTGTACTTACCATAGTTAAGTTACCATAGACCTTGCCTTGAATTGCTTATAAAATTGTCAGTTACTAAATAATTCCAAGAACAAGATTAGGGAAAAGTTGTCATTTTGCCCAGTTAAACAAATTTTTGTAACCTTTTCATTAAGCCAGGACTTCAAATTTGGCTTAATTATTGCCCTTGTATTATTAATGTATTTTTTTCCTGTTCTTGTGAAAATAGAACAGTGTTTGATCTAAGTATAAGCCTTTGAAAAAAAAAATAAATCTAAGTTTATATATGTTCTTAGAAGAGGCTGGTGGGAGTTTGGCAGCAACATTTTCCAAAGACAGCATCTGCAGCCAAGTAGTTGAGTAGAACTTTCCCTGTCATTGTTCCTCCTTGAATCCCAATGTGGACTCCGATACAAGTATTAAAAAGGAGGAGATTAACTCTGCTTTGACTGTTAGAGGCACAGACACATGAAGGAGAAAGAAGAGGTGACTGCTCTGCAGAGGAGTGAGAATTGCAAGTGGCTTCTGTTTGCAAGTATCAGAGGGTAAAGGAAGTTAGAAAACCATTAGGAGGGTCTAGGCACAGGGAAATGTGGAGATGCATGTTGAGTGATCTGGAAGGGTCCCCTGCTCAGGGGAGGGTAGGGGGGTCCAAAACCAGTAGAGAGCATACTTCCTAAGCCTCCTCTTTCCTCTGCTATCAGCAAATAGCAGAGAGAACAACAGGCAAAGAATGTCTCTTTCCTTCAGTGCTTGCTGGTTTGGTATCGATTCTGTTTATTTATACACGTGAGGCCTGTTCGGCGGGTGCAGAAGTCAAGCTGCTGACAAGTCGCACTGCACAGAGTGGTTCATCTTGAGGGCGCTCACAAGGCATGTGCGGGACAACCAGGGGATCGGGCCCAGTCAGCACAGGTTCATGAGAGGCGGGTCCTGCTTGACCAACCTGATCTCCTTCTATGACCAGGTGACCCGCCTAGTGGACGAGGGAAAGGCTGTGGATGTGGTCTACCTGGACTTCAGTAAGGCCTTTGACACCGTCTCCCACAGCATTCTCCTGGAGAAGCTGGCGGCTCACGGCTTAGACAGGTGTACTCTGCGCTGGGTCAAAAACTGGCTGGACGGCCGGGCCCAGAGAGTTGTGGTAAATGGAGTTCAATCCAGTTGGCGGCCGGTCACGAGCGGTGTTCCCCAGGGCTCAGTATTGGGGCCAGTTCTGTTTAATATCTTTATCAATGATCTGGATGAGGGGATCGAGTGCACCCTCAGTAAGTTTGCAGACGACACCAAGTTGGGCGGCAGTGTTGATCTGCTCGAGGGTAGGAAGGCTCTGCAGAGGGACCTGGACAGGCTGGATCGATGGGCCCAGGCCAACTGTATGAGCTTCAACAAGGCCAAGTGCCGGGTCCTGCACTTCGGCCACAACAACCCCATGCAGCGCTACAGGCTTGGGGAAGAGTGGCTGGAAAGCTGCCTGGCGGAAAAGGACCTGGGGGTGTTGGTCGACAGCCGGCTGAACATGAGCCGACAGTGTGCCCAGGCGGCCAAGAAGGCCAACGGCATCCTGGCCTGTATCAGAAATAGTGTGGCCAGCAGGAGCAGGGAAGTGATAGTGCCCCTGTACTCAGCACTGGTGCGGCCGCACCTCGAATACTGTGTTCAGTTTTGGGCCCCTCACTACAAGAAGGATGTTGAGATGTTGGAACGTGTCCAGAGAAGGGCAACGAGGCTGGTGAGGGGTCTGGAGAACAAGCCTTATGAGGAGCGGCTGAGGGAGCTGGGGTTGTTTAGCCTGGAGAAAAGGAGGCTGAGGGGAGACCTCATTGCTCTCTACAACTACCTGAAAGGAGGTTGTAGCGAGGTGGGTGTCGGTCTCTTCTCCCAAGTAACTGGCGAAAGGACGAGAGGAAATGGCCTCAAGTTGCGCCAGGGGAGGTTTAGATTGGATGTAAGGAAAAATTTCTTTACTGAAAGAGTAGTTAAACATTGGAACAGGCTGCCCAGGGAAGTGGTTGAGTCACCATCCCTGGAAGTATTTAAAAGACGTGTAGATGCGGCACTTAGGGACATGGTTTAGTGGGCATGGTGGTGTTGGGTTGATGGTTGGACTCGATGATCTTAGAGGTCTTTTCCAACCTTAATGATTCTATGATTCTATGAGTCATACTGACTCTGCAGTAGAATTCCTGTGTTTTGGGCATGGTTAAGTATAACAATTAGACTGTTCCAATATAGCTATTTTAAGGCTAAAGGGCTAAAATGTTAGGACATTTCTTATTTTAGGCTGTTGATGTGACCATAATTTATCCATTGTAGTGCTCTTCAATTCTGTTCTTAAAAGGCTTTCTCCCGCGCACCCCCTTGTTCACTGCAGAGTTGTAAAGTGTCTGGGGATTTATCAGTAGGAGTTGTCTGCAGTAGAGTGTGGAATGGGCACAGAGGAATATGGGAAGACAAAGAATGGTCTCAGCTTAGGGAAGTTGAATGCTGGCTTGGAGGACTGGTTTCTTCCCATCTTGGATGCTAAATGACTATTTTATGCTGGGTAGGTAATATAGGTCAGGGGTTCACAGATGACCATTCATTTTTTAACATTGGTGAGACATGTAGCCAAATTTGTCAGTGTTCTGACATCACTAGTACAGCTAAAATCACGTGAAACTGAGCTGTTCACTGTTAAGAGTCCTGAGTGTCCTGAAAAATTGAACCTTGAAACTTAAATCAGCTGTATGGAACTAAAGAGTACTTGGGACAGTTTGACCTAGACTTCTGTGCCTCCTGTTTCTGTATCTGTAAATTATGGCTAGCAGTGTTGTCTTGTTGAATAGGTTGTGGAGAAGATTCTTTTTTTACTGTTCGGGGAGCATTGAAGTACTAGAGGAATGAGTGGGTATGCACGTGTGTGATATCAACCACCTGGGAGTAAGATTAAAAAAAAAGCATAACTGCCTTTTATACTAGGTTGTTTGGTAGGAAATATACATTCATAGTATTAAAACCGGTGTTACAGTTCATATATGCAAAGGCACAGATTTTTTTTCTTCAACTCTTTTGGAGTCTAATTTTTACTGACGTTATACTAATCTTGGAAGGCCCCATCCAGATACGGAGTTCTGTTGAGTTTGGTTTCACGGAGATGTAAAAGAGATTGTTTTTGCCTAAAGGTTGTGTATTTAGACAAAGGAATGTAATAGACATAGTGGGTTCAGGGAGAGGCACTAGTCATACAGGTATATTTTTCCATAACGTACTTGGGTGTGCTGCTTGGAGGTACAGAGGTGCTATTTTATTCCTTAAACTAAATATGCACTGGGGCACATCTATGTGATATTAAGTATTTGTAAACTCCTGCTGCCTGAGCTTGAAGAAACTGAGAAAATATCTGCCTATGGTTAGTGTAATATCAAGACAGAGTATATTAGCTGTGGCTCAGTGCCATGGTAACACCAGAACATGGTTTCTAGTCAGCTTACAATACAGACATATCTGACTGCTAGTAGACCCAGCTTGCAACTTTTATTGTCATTAAAACAAACAAAATTCATTAAGAATACTTTGTGAAAACAAACAAACTGTTTTTTAGGAAGCTGTGATAGTGATCTTGTGGATGAGTTCTGAATGTGGTATTTGCAGGAAGAGACAGGCAGAGTTTAGGAAAGAACTAGTGTAACTGTAGAATAATAGAGAAGCCCACAATACTTAAACGTGGACAATGCAGAACCTTCTCTTCTTTTATACCTCAGTGAGTGGGATGTTATTGATCCTGCTTATTGGAGTGGGTGAGATTTACCTTGTTCACAGCAATAAACCTACGCATTCCTTCAAAGTGGCGGTTGACAGTTAAATGTTGATTCCTGTGCTTTCCTACCAGTAAGAAAAGCATAAACGCTGCTGAGCGTCCTGTATTGATAGATGTCTCAGGAGCTTGTGCTGCAGGAGCTCTTTGTAAATCAGAGTAGATCAGACAACTTAGTGTGGTATTGCTCTAAAAGTGAGTGGTGAAACGTTGGCCTTAATGATTGTGGCTGTTCAGTCAGATACCTGACTGAACAGTGTTAAATGAAGTGTTACCTTGCATCCCATAGGTTAATTTAGCTGCTAAACTATAGTAACTCTTACTTTTAATCACTCATCTCTATGTATCTTGTGGGCTGCACAGGTTTTAAATAGTGGCTAAAAAAACCTGATACTCCATTATTGCTCATTTTATCATGTTATCATGAGCAACACTCATTTGGAAGTCATCCGCTCTGCATGGATCAGTCCCTGGACCTATACCAAATACAGGAAAGCAATGATTCCATATAAGCTATATAGCTAAACAGGGCAGGGAAATCCAACTGCTGACTGTGCAGTTGCTGCTCTTGTCTCACCATGTACCAAAATTAATCATGTACCAAAATTAATATACCCAGAAACAGAGCATAGAGCAGGAACTCCAGAACTTTTTTGAGTGCTACTAACACAGAAAGAGAACTCTGTGATAGAATAGTTGCTTTAGCAGCTTGTACTTTTTTTTGGACCATGCACAGATGCAGGAGGAGATGTTTAGGCTGTATTCCTTCTCTAGAGGAAAGGCAGTAGATCAGATCTTTGCGGGATATCAGTTTGAAGTACCTTCATAGTTAGGAGGTCCCTGCAGGAGTGAACTGCATTTCAATTACCTGCACAAGAGACTACTGGGCTTAACGACTTAAGAGTCTTTTTCAAAGTTGTTTTCCTGTGAGCAAGTAGGTGCTAAATATTTTCAGTTTGCGGGGCTGGAGTTGCTGTCTATGTAAACATACGTTTGCATTCTTTTGGTTTTTAGGTCTTATGCTTTTTTCTGCAACACTTCTGTTTCTGAGTTAGCAAGGTTTCCTATTCAGGGTTTTATTTCTTTCATTGTCTCTTTTTTTTTTTTTTTTTCCTTTGCCTGTTCCTGCTTATCTCACAAGCACAAGGAAGTGATTGAAACTCCAGGTAGAAGATAAATTTCAGAATAAGAAGAAACTTGCGTACACTGAAAAGAAATCACAGAAGGATTATGGAGAAGAATCTAGAGTACAAGTTCTGGTATGAAATTCTAAATATTTTCCTTGGACTTTAGGTCACTTCTGCTCTGGAAGACAAACCTCGCTTAATATAGAGTATAGCATGTAAAATAGTTCCACTGAGTCTGTGCCGGCCAGGCAAAGCTTACTTCTTACCAGTAAAACTTTGTTTAAATGGATTCAGACTAGCATAGTTCCTACTCTGTTGTACATGGTATCCACTAAGATATTTTTCATGCTTTATCCAAATGTTGAAGTGTCTTATATGTAAGAAAACTTGTTTGTATGAAAACTAGCCACAAAGTCAGGACAACTTTCTAGTACTAGATTTTTTTGCCACCGTTAAAAATGTTTTGAGTATGATTTTTTTTCCTCCTTAAGATATCAGAAGGAAAACCATATGTAAATACTCTTGATATGCATTCTTCCATCTCCACGATATGAAATCAAAAGGCAATTCATTTTCTTAACACTGAAAATGTTGAAATCTTCCACGCATTTAAATAACACTGTATCAGTATTCACCTAGAGAATACCTTGGTCTATTTCTGACTGGGATTTCCACTG